TCTCCTCAATGGCTGTTGCTAGGCAACCAAGCTTGGTTCTGTCAGTAAAAAGGCAAAGGCAGGAGGCCCTTTCCAGGCCTACTTTGGCCTTTGTGGGGCCAGTCTGTTATCAGCTCCCGGTTGGAAAATTCCTGGAGATTTTGTGGTGGAGTCTACAGAAGCCAGAGTTTGGGGAGGGGAGAGGCCTCGGCTGAATAGAATGCCATAGAGTCCACCCTCCAAAACAGTTATTTTCTCCAGGGGGAGAGAGAGATCTGTTGTCTGGAATTCAGTTGTGATACCAGGCGATACCACAGCCAGTGTGGAGTAGCAGTTAGCACTTCAGAGCAGGGTCTGCCAGACCCAGGTTCTTGTTGTGGAAGCTGACTGGGTGATTTCAGACCACTCACAGACTTTCAGCCTAATCTATCTCACAGGGTTGTTGTGCAGATCAAAAGGGGGAGAGGAGAATAATGTGAGCTGCTGTGGTCCCCACTATGGAGAAAGACTGTACTTTTCCTAGGTAGAGGCTGCAGGGAAGGGGGAGGAGATGGAAACCTGAAGTCAGAGGGGCAGATAATGGTACATTGATGGTTGGCTGGGAAGGATAGGGTTGCCAACTCCAGGTTGGGAAATTCCTGGAGAGGGTGGGATTTAAAGAGGAGCGGGACCTCAGACAGGTACACTGCCATATACTCCATCCTCCAAACCAGCCATTTCCTCCAGGGGAACCATTGTTCCCAATCTCCAGGTGAGGGCTGGAGATCACTCAGAATTACAACTGCTCTTCAGATGGCAGATATGAGTTCCCCTGGAGAAAACAACGGACTCTGTGTCATTATACCTTGATGAGGTCACCACAGCAAATTGACGCTGAGTGTCGAAAGCCAGGGCACCCACCCAGAGCCTCTTTCTAGAGCTCATTGTATTTATTTCCACAATGGGCCTTATTCCTAGTAGAGAATAAAACTACTGCCATCATACTGCTCTTATACAAATGTATGGTGAGACCACACTTGGAATATTGTGTAAAGTTCTGGCACCTGAAAAAGGATATTGTAGAATTTGAAAATGTGTGGGGAAAAGTATCCAAAATGATCAGGGGACTACAGCAGCTTCCCTATGAGGGCTAGTAGAAAAGAGTAAGTCCAGTACCACCTGGTGGTAGGGTGTGAGCTTTCATGAGTCACTGCTCACTTCTTCAGATACAGCAGTGACTTAGAAAAGTTCATACCCTACCAGTGTTCCCTCTAAACTGAATTAGTGTGAGCTAGCTCACAGTTTTTTAGCCTCCGGCTCACACATTTTTGTCTTAGCTCAGGAAGGATGGCTCCAGAGCAAACTAATTTATGCAGTAGCCAAATCACCTTCTCACAGCTTTAACGCTGGTAGCTCACAAAGTAGATTTTTATTCTCAGGACTCCACAGCTTAGAGGGAGCATTGTACCCTAAGCCTGTTCGCAGGATGGACGGGGTATAAATATAATGAATTAATAAATAAAATAAATAAAAATACCCTACCACAAATTTTGTTAGTCTTTAAGGTGTCACTGGACTGTTACTCTTTTCTACTGCTACGGACAGACTGATACAGCTACCAGTCTTGATCTAACTCTTAGAGCTGTTTAGCCTAGAAAAAAGGCAAATAAGGGAAGATATGATAGAGGTTTATAAAATTATGCATGGCATGGAGAGAGTGGACCCCTCCCATAATACTAGAACCCAGGGTCATCTGCTGAAGCTGATTGGTGGAAGATTCAGGACAGACAAAAAGAAAGTATTTCTTCACAGTGCACAGTTGATTTGTGGCACTCACTGCCACAGGATGTGGCTGTGGCCACCAACTTAGAAGGCTTTAAAAGGGGAGTGGACAAATTCATGGAAGAATAGGCTATCAAGTGCCACTGATCATGACAGATATCTACTGTCTCCAGTACCAAAGATAGTACCAGAGATGCCTCCTTAAATTAGTTGCTAGGGAGCACAGTCAGGATGATGCTTTTAAAGTCTTCCTGTTTGTGGGCTTCCTAGAGGTAGCCAGTTGGCCACTGTGTGATCAGAATGTTGGACTGGATGGGTGTTTGGTCTGATGCAGAGTAGTCCTTCTTATGTTCCTAAGAGTTCTGGAAAACTCTTACAACTTGTATACTGTTTTGTGATATTTTGTTTATCAACAATAAAAAGTATTACAAAACTTAGGTTTTTGGATTGTTCTGTGGACCAATGCAGCTATCACCTCTATTTGGGAAATACTGAATTTAGCTATCAGATATGGGCAGGAACTGGTTTATGAGTGTTTGTTGCTCTCTACCAACTAGGTCATATTACCTGATTCCCCTCTTTACCTATGTATCTAAATTAATTGCTAATGTTGTTACCACAATCAGTACTAGTTATCAAAATACAAAATTGCCTTTAGTCCAGGTTAAATATCTCTATCTTTCTTCGAAACATCCAGCCTGATGAAATATTCTGGAGAGCTCAAATGGTGTTGTCATATTCCAGCTAGTTCTAATAAAAGGTATTACAAACAGCCAGTTTGGTGTAGTGGTCAGGGCTCTAGTTGGGGGGGAGCTCTCAGGTACGGAGCTCCGGAAGAGAACCTCTAGGGGGCGGGGCGGTCACGTGGTGAAGCCCCGCCCCCTTCTTTACCCCGCCCTCTGCTTCGATCCTCATTCCGTTTGGGAATGAGGATGAAGCAGGAGGGTAAGTAGCCGGGCCTTCTGACACACTTCCGGTGATGTCAGGGGGTGTGGCCTTCTGTCACTTCCGGTGATGTCAGGGGGCGTGGCATATGCAAATAAGTTATGCTAATGAGCTCCGGCAGCTCTTTTTCTACAACAAGACCCCTGGTAGTGGTTAAGTGTGCAAACTCTAATCTGGGAGAACCGGGTTTGATTCCCCACTCCTCCACTTGCACCTGGCTCCTCCTCTTCTTCTTCTTCCTCCTATTTTTGCATTTAATGCTGTTCACAGTAAAAGGGGAAAACCCCCACAAAACACTAGATTTTCCCATTTTGGGGGGGAACCCACATATCAACGCACAAAACAATAAACTGAAGAACAAATCCACTACAGTTTAAAAGCAAGGTTAAGTAAAATATTTATTTTGTTTGGAAGAGACTTTGTCTTGAAAACAGCAAAACAATCCCTTTTTATTTAAAGGGGGTCTGAAGAGGAAGGGGTCTGAAAAGCTTTCAAAGCTAATCATAGAAATAGAAAAAGGCCAGAGCATCATGTGAAATTTGAATAATCTGAATGGGGGCTTAGATTATAGAAGAAACCTATATGTAGTTTTATAACTAAATACCTTGTAATTAATACTGAACTGTTAATTCAAATAATAACTCAAGTCAAGCCAATACCATAAGGTTTTGAAGACAACAGATGAGCAGAGATAGTGTGGTGTACTAGAACATAAGAACATAAGAGACGCCAATGTTGGATCAGGCCAAAGGCCCATCCAGTCCAACACTCTGTGTCACACAGTGGCCAGAAATACCAGTGCCATCAGGAGGTCCAGCAGTGGGGCCAGGACATTAGAAGCCCTCCCACTGTTGACCCCCCCAAGCACCAAGAAGACAGAGCATCACTTGCCCCAGAGCCCCTAGCTATACCTTGTGGCTAATAGCCACTGATGTTGTTAATTCAAGCCAACACCATAAGGTTTTGAAGACAACAGATGAGCAGAGATGGTGTGGTGTACTATTGCCTTCCTCTGCATAACAGCTTCTTCCTTGGTGATTTCCCATCCAAGTACTAACTGTGGCCAGCCCTGCTTAGCTTCCAAGTTCTGGTGAGGTTGGGCTACTCAGGCTGATGAACTGTTATTTAGGCTTTGTTTATCTCATCTTAATTTACTTGATATTCCTAAATGATTAAAACTGAGCCCTCATTGTCAAAAGAATTGTATGGGTGTTGGGAAAATGAGGGGTGTGGGAACCTTTTCATGCACCCTCATTTCCACTGTGTTCATTTTGGGGAGGGAGAGAAGCTGATTTCCCAACTGCATCAAGAGAGAGTTGTTCTAAATCAAGACACAATTTGTTCCATTGCACACCCTTAAGTCAGAAAACATTTTGCGGCATTTCAATATTCAACGTAGAATATTTCCAGACCCCAATATGTAAATAGTGCACTTGTAATTCTATAAAAGATATTCTTGGTTGTTCTGCCAAGACCCATACTGAGGGCAGTTGATCAGAACAACCAGGAACTAGACTAAAATCAGACATTAAAGTACTCTTTTTTACCAACTGAAGCTAATGTAACTGTCAATCAAATCTGTGACAAGCATTTGACATCCATCTGACTTCTGCAAAGTATAAACATTCCCAGAATGTGAGGCGATGTTGTGTACAGTGAAGTGCTCAGCAGAGTCCTTAAGCTTCTTAGGAGCAGCACTAAAGTTTCAACTACAGAAGCTAATTACTATAGATATTTTTAAAAAAATTAATTGCTTTTTACACTACATCCTATAGGGCATGGGGATGGGAACAACACTAAAACTAAAACAGAAGCTGAATAAATTAAAGTATCATAGGTGTACCACAGGTTTTGCAAAGTTTTAGCAGAAGACTGAAACTCAATCCAGCCCTAATTTCGCAACAATGGGAATCGAGCTCTTTAAAATCCTAGGGTTTAGGCTGACAACATCCCCCACCGGCAAGGGGAGAGAACTATCATACCAGGGTTCACCAGACAACTGCCATTGCTTTGTAGGTGCTGAACGGGACCTCTCCCTCGCATTGGAGAACAGAAAGGAAAAGACTTCAATTTTAAACAGGAACTAACTATGACAACCGTATTGGGGCTGATACCTCCCTGCCGCCATTTAGCCAATTAGAGTTCCTAGAGCGGAAGCACGGATCTTGGTGACCAATCAGCGCGGCACATCATCTTGACGGACACTTTACTTGGCTTTTCAGAGTGCAGTTGCTAGGCATGTCGGGTCCGGTACAGTTTTTAGGCTGTGTGGCGCGCTTGCTGAAGCTTCCGCAACTGTGTGCGTTTCCCTGTCGAGTGTTTTGCAGGTCGGCTGGTTGCGGGAAGTTGCTCCATTACCGCTCTCCTCCTCGAAAGAGGAGAAAGCTGTTCCCCTTCCCGTGAGGCGGAGAGTCCCTGTTTCATTTTCGCGTAATTCATTTGGGTGGCCAGGAGGAGGGCTCGCCCTGTGTACGTGATAAGGGCTGCCTTTTGGAGTTCGCGGAGAGCTCATTCTCTGGGCGGGAGGGAGGAAACGTGGCTCAGGCGGCTTCCTGTTGTATTTGGTGCCTCTGCTTGGTCCTGCAAACCACCGTGGGTCGGGGCCCTGTCTCTGCCCCACCATCGCTACTTCCCCTTCTTAGAGGATGGGAGCTGGTATTCGTCTTCTCGGCATACGAATACGCTGAAGGTGGAATCTGGTCTCGCATGGAGCCCTTCGCGTACCCCACTCTAAAAAGTTTCCAGTAGGCCAAACGGGGTGTAAAAATAATACTGAGCCCCCGCCAGTATGATTATTTGATGACCAGGCTAAGGAGTTGGGTTTTCGAAAGGCTGCCTGAATTTTCCACAGGAGACTTCAAAATTCCATACTCCCCTACCCCCCCAACCTTTGTTGTCTCACAGAGCATTACAACACTAAACACGCTCCTGCTCTGAAGAATTGCTCCTGTGTTTAAAATACAGCACTGCATCGTCTGGTAGTAGGCTCCAGTCGGGCATTTGGGTACCTCCAGATTAGTAGATAGGGCTCCAGGTCCTTTCCTAACAGGGCTGTCAACTTTGCACGGTTTCAGGTGGTGTATGGCAGTCCGATGTAAGTGGCAAATGAAGTACACAGCCACCAAACTCTCTCTGTATAACATGTCACAAATAGATGGTAATGTTCATGGAGTATGATTAGCTGTTGCTCAAAGCTTTTAGTATTTTTAAGTTTTAAAGTCTGTTTAAGGAAAAGTAAAAGCATTAGACAGCTGTTTAAAAAATTCTAGAGCAGCACTCTCCATTTGCAATTCACTGTTGAAGAGCAAGATATTGACGCTGAACTAACAGACTAAACAATGCAGTATTTTCTTTATGTTGTAGTAGTACAATGCAAAGGGCGTCACGATTGAAGCGGGAGCTGCATCTGCTGACTACAGAGCCACCTCCAGGCATCACCTGCTGGCAGAATGAAGGTCACTTGGATTACCTTCGAGCTCGTATGTGTCTGTCTTGATTTTACCTCCCCCCCCCCCCTTTAAGCAGGAGTTGCATTGATTTTAAATATGTGGGAAAGTTTGTTAAATATGTTTTGAATGGCCTGATATTGCCATGGGGTGAATAACATATTTACGTACTTTGCTGTTATGCCTTTTCCCATCAAACAATGGTGAGTTGACTTAAGTGGAGACTTTTTATTTTTTTTAACCAGTTTGGTGTAGTGGTTAAGTGCATGGACTCTAATCTGGGAGAACTGGGTTTGATTCCCCACTCCTCCACTTGCACCTGGCTGGATGACCTTGGGCAAGCCATAACTCTGGCACAGCTGTTCTTGAAAAACAGGGAAAGGAGTTTGTAAGCCACTCTGAGACACCTTTGGGTAGTGAAGGGCAGGGTATAAATCCAATCTCTTCTTCTCTTCTTCTTCTCTTTACATTCTGTGGGACCTGTAGTGGCTTACAACAGTCTCCCCTTATCAGTTTCATCCTCACAACAACCTTGTGAAGTAGGTTAGGCTGAGAGTATGTCAGACTATAGACTTGGGTTCATATTCACTTTCAGCTCTGAAACTGGCTGTGTGACCTTGGGCCAGTCACCCCCTTGTAGCCTGACCTGCTTCACAGGATTGCTGTAAGGATAAAATGTGGAAGGCAGAAATGTAGATGCCACCCTGAGCTCCTTGAAGGAATGGCAGGATAAAAAGGTGCTAAGTGAAATAAAGATTGGCATCCCCTGGATTCTGTTGCCTGTGATGATTTGGTATCCCTGTAAAATCCGCAATAATAAATACAAAAAGTTATGTCTTGTATCATTAATAATGCTTAACTTCCAGTCAGATTTTCCCCTGTGATTCTCTTACATAGAAAAGTGGCCTTTAACTCAGCCTATTTTATAGATGTTCATGATTCAATTTTAAGAGATTTGGCGTAGGTTATAACACATTTATAATCCTGGTGGATTACTCCTATTTTACAAAGATATCACCTCCCTATGGAACCCTGGGTGATAACCATATTATTAACTGATGAGGACCCTGAAACGACTCGCTTGGTGGCAAAATATCTTTCGACAGTGCTATTTTTAAAGCGGCTTTGAAATGTTATAAGTACCTTTTGTATACAATTTTAAAATTTTAAAACTAGTTTCCATAGTATCATGGGATTTTATAGAATTCATTGAAGTTTATAAAATGTGGTCTGATATCACTGATTGAGAGCATGTTTATTAGCTTTTATTGTAAAGACGTTCTGCCTAAATTTTTTGTAATTTTATGTAATGCATTTTATAGTTGTTGTTTGCATGTTTGGCTTAAGACCTTGGGTCAATGAAGCTAATAAATGAAATGGAAATGGACACATTTATATTCAGTTCAGATTTTCTTACACTATTTTTATAAAGAAACTTGTCATTATAATTGATATTTTAAAAAGTAAAAATGATTGTTTTCAAATCATGTTATCCTAGTTGTAAAAATAATTAATAAAACACTCAAAGCATATAATACAGAAAGGGATTTGGTTTTCTATTTATTTCCATTTGGGGTGCTTTGTCTGTAACTTTCTCTTGGAGTGTAGTTGAATTTTACGTATCCTAATTTAGAAGCAAGCCCCATTAATACTCCCACCCTAGCCAGTGATCAATGAATTGCAGCTTCCACCCTAATCTCTGAGAATGGAATTGGATTTGTAGCCTCTCTTCAGAGACCGTGAAGAACGAACAGTGTTAGCCTGGTAATCAGGTTCTTGGACTGCTAATGCCTGTAAACAGTTGAGTCAATTAGTATTTTTTTCAACACTGAAAACAGTGATGAGCAAAGAGTGCTGGTAGTTCCTGAATAGCAACACTGTCTTAAGTAATAAGAGAGACTGCAAGACTATGTTATAGTGGGGGGGTATACAAATTTTCTGCCCAAGTAACTGAAGCTTTGCATGGAGAAAAGCTAGGTTTTGTGACATTTATAAGTTACAAAAATTAAATATATTTGCATATATATGGTAATTTTGCCACACTGATTCTGTGCATAGAGGAAAATGGCGTTATGCAAGGTTCTCTCCTTAGCTAATGCATTGTAATCAGAGAGAAACCCAAGTTATTTCCAGCACCCTTTCAAATCTGTGTGTTTTTTTTTGGATAAAGATTTATTCCCTCTCCTAAAAAGGAGAGATATTTCTTTTAAGTTCAAGAAAAAAGGGTGGGTATATAGAGGGATAAAGAAATAGAGTGAGTGGTGTTAATAGTATTAGTTTAGTTAATCTGTTAGTATTCAGAGCACACAGTCCATAGTTTCTTTCGTCAGACGTCTTTCTGTTCTTCTAGTTAGGGTAAAACAAGGTATTTAGTGTATTAATAATGTCCTTCTGAGGAGGTCTTCTTCCAAAGTACAATCCAATAATGAAGAAAAAAATCGAAAGTTTTTACACTTTGGGTTCTTTTCCTCTTTCTCTCAGGTTGTATTTTCCCGCCGCTTCTTCTGAATCCTCATCCTTCACTTCTCCCTCTGAGCTGCTGTCATCCACGCTTAATGTTGACATCCATTCGGCCAGAGCTGTTTCTTCTTCTTTACTGGCATGCCTTTTCAGAAATTCTTGAGCCTTGAAGATAGAGTTAATTTTTTCCCTTTTATCCTTAAACTTGAACGTCAGTCCTTCGGGTACCAGCCATTTATATCCAATTTGCCGTTTCTGTAAGAAGATAGTCAATCCTTTATACTCCTTTCTTTTCATTCTAATCTCAAATGGAACATCTTTCAAAACTCTAATTTGCTGATCACCAATCTTCAGGGGTGACGCTGACGTATT